TTCTTGCCTTCTAAAGTTGTTAGAACATTATTTGAGAAGCAAAGAAGGAGTTATGAAGTTATTACATTAAGAAAAAGACAAGACAAAGAGTGAAAAATTAAGCCTCAGCCGAAAGCCGAAAGCAGAACTTCACCTATGCGTTTGGGCTGCAGCCAAAGTTGTGACCGAGAGGTTTTGGCCACAGCCAAAAAAGAATTAGCTATAGCCAAAAAGCATTTACTGAAGCTATGCGTTTTGGAATCAAACTTGAAGCTAGCGTTACATATGCAAAATTCTGGCACTTGGAAGAGAGAGCCACGAGTTTCAAAGGTTCTTGGAGGCTTGCTCTGCTAGGGTTTGGGTTCTTGAGGGAGATTTGATCAAGGATTGAAGATTTGAAAAGATTCAAGTGAATTTCCTTCAGTTTTTCTGCTTCTCTTCCCTTTTCTCTCTTTGTTTCTGATATGATGCTGTAACATTTTGTTATTTGTGGCTCTTTTATGAGCATGAGTAGCTAGTTCTCTTGTTCTAGAATTATTTCAAACCTTTGTATGAATTAAGACTTGAATATTCCTCTCTTTTGGTAGTTAATGATGTGTTTTATTTTATTCTATACTTAAAGCTTCTAAGTGCTTGATCACCATTTCGATTATCTTGTTCACTAGAGTTGTGCTTGAGAGAGATAATTTAGTGTGTAAACCTGGATAAAATAGTGCTGGACTTGAAATTTACAAAGAAAAATGGATGGTTTTTTTTGGCAAAATAGAGATTTTTATTAATCCTTCATAATCTTATTAAGATGAGAGCTTAAAAATTGTTTTCACTAATTATTTTCAAGAGATTGGGAAATTTTAGTGTCTGTAAATACTTGATTATGACTTGAGAAAACGTTTTCAAGTAAATTAAAATCTTAGACTAATACTTATTCATTAAAATCTGTTGAGAGGAATTAAATTAAGTTTTATGAAATATAAAGGGGAGAGATAATCCTAGATCCTCGCCTCTTAAAGTCAAGGTTTCAACAAATTTTAATTGTTTAAACACTTTTAATCCATTTTTCATTACTCTTGATTTTGCTCAACCTAATCCAAAACCTAATAGTGAATTTTTAACTCTCATTTGTCTAAATCCTTGGGGAACAATATATCTGGAATTTTTGCACTTGTAACGACCCGTACGCTTGTGCTAATGCTTGATGGCGAACATAACCCAATGCAAAATAAATAAGCATGACAAAAATCAACTGCTCGCAAACCTAGAATCATGGCACCATGTAGATCCGCATCAAGAAGACATTGAGCTAGTTGATTCTTCCTAAAAATTTGACCACATTCATGGTCATAAGAATCATCAGAGAGAGCAAGTATAAATTTTAGGAATCATGCATATGAAATCAGTTAATGATGAAAATGGAAATAACTACCCAGCCGCATTAAGAAGCTGTTGCCTGTAACCTTTCCAGAATTCATGCATTGGCCTGAAATTATCAAATCTGTAATTCAAGTGGACTGTAATTAGAGAAAAAGAATATCATCATTACAAATAGATTATAACAATGAGTTGTTGAAAAATGATCAGTCACACTTAACCAAAAACTAAGAGCAACAAAAGAAATAGCAAAGGGAACACTTAGGCACTAATGCTTGTACACTTAACATACTTTTGTGCAATCAACTCAAAACAAGTGGATCTTAAAGTGTTAATAACATTAATAACAAGAATTTGTTATGGGATAAACAATATATAAAAGATCCACATGTTTTGTTTTAATTGGAAACAAGCACCTTAAGAATATAAACCTAAGTATACAAATTTTTCCCAATAGTAAAGTCTCTTTGAAACACCATTGGGACAGTACCACTCTCCACAACTACAACTCTAAGGAAATACTAAAAACTAAATGGGCTAAAGAATTTGTCTAAATGTGCAGTTTAGAACACATAAACTTACTTGTCGAATTTTCGAGGAAGGTCCAATGTTCCTTGCTCTTTATGTTGTTTCTTAGACAAGTGTTTCTTGGATCGTTTTGAATTTACTCGCAAAGCCCCAATTAAGAACCAGTAGATGCTCCACATCTTCGTGAAAGATTATCAAGAAGGACCAGTTGATCAATTTTCATGCTTCTTGATCCTTGCATGCACTTTGGAGCCAAATCTCCCCTCTAGAGAAGCTCATGTAATATACCATTTACTGAACTTTCTCTCCCAGCAAAAAACTGCATGATCTCAGTCAGAGTGAGAGGAGGAATTTTTTTTGGTTTTTTTTTTTTTTTTTGGGGTTCATCCATGAAATACAAATACCAGAAATTTAGAAATTTCTAGGTAGCAGTAGGAAAATATAGGATCATTTTTCATGAGAAGGGATTATATATATCATCTTTGAAATATGAAGATATAGTGTTATGTGGGAATTAAGATAAGTGTAGTTAGGGAATCGGGAGAAAGGGGCATTAGGGTATTTGGCTAATATTTTCATTATAAATAGGGAATCTGTGTATGGGTTTGGCGGTAAATGAATCAACAATTTGGCCATAAGGTTTTGGGGCTTCTATCATGTATCAACTGGTGTCATATATTAGCCAAATACCCTAATTTCCCTTTTGTCCCAATGCCCTATCTACCCTTATCCTAATTCACTAATTACTCCCAATTCCATTAAAACATAGAGAAACTTCAACATCTTTGCTTTAGCCAGAACCCTTGAATTGCATGCTAAAAGTGTTTTTCAAAAGGGACTTATGACATCTGTAATTAAAATTACATCACCGATTATTTCAGTGTTTGGATAGGATGAAAGTTAACTTCATGATGTTACATAATAGAGGTTTGAATTTCGTCCCCCTTTTTAGTAGAATGAAAGTTGTATTATGAATTGTCTGACTATGGGTTCCAAAAAAAGCAATACCTCCTCATTAGTAGCTAGCAGATATTCATGTACAGTCTGAGAGAGCTGTGCATAAGTTGGACCACCTTCTTCATTGTCTATAGAGAACTACAAGTTATTTATTGTCCATACAAATTGAAAAAGTTCACAATACATATATAGATAATGTATACATACAGGTAAGTGTGTATATGTAAATATTGATGCATATACATGCGTGCACAAGCATGTGTATGTATATTTAAATACATTCATATACATATGAACATAGATATGTATGTTGTATGTATCAGTGGGTAAACATATGTACACATGCTAGTACACACATATGTACACAAACGTACACATGCAAGTGTAAAGGTAGTATTGCATGGATTGTCCAGTACCTCGCAAAGTAGCCTGGCCAGAGAAAGTGAAATACCCCAAAAGATCAAGGTTAGGAGAATAAGTCAAAAACCAAACCACTCAAAGATGCTTCCAAACTTCTCTTATGCAAATTATTAAATGAACAACAAATCCCAAAACTTTTGCCACCAAGCAAGATGCACATGTATCACATGAAATACAAAGTGAGGATAAAAATCTTCCCAACAAACTCAAAATGAACGTACTGAAAACCCATTGGGTACTAGGAAATCAATGGATTTTAATGATCACAACATTAAATTCATCATAAAGCCAGGGAATAAAATATCTGACATTCTGTAAGTGGCATCTTTTGTCCAATTGGGAAAATCATATATTACAGATCTCTCGGGTACTTCAAGTACTCTTACAAATACTGAAACCGTATATGGACTTTTCTTGATTTTGGATATAAACTACATTACCCTCAATTTTTAAATGACAAATAAATGGATAGTCCTATTGAAAAAACAGCAATTGACTACAAATCTAGGCATATAGCTCTGTTTTAATGCGCGCAGCTAAAAATGACCAAAGAACATTTAACTTCTGCATTTAAGCAAAATCAGTAGTCAACACACATTCAAGAGGAAGAGTCAAATTCAACCAAATGTAAGTGCTTCACTCAAAATTAAGTGAGGCTGATATAACAGTTAAATAGTGTGCACCAAGATTATATTAAAAATGCATTTTTATTTTTTATTTTTTAATAAAAAGTGGAAAAATTTAAAAGAGGAAAACACAAAGACACAAAAATTGAAAGTTGAATTGCCCTTTTGGAAGATGTGCTCAAAGGAGGCACGCCCAATGGACCACATAAAAGTGATGAGGAATCAGTGGAGGTAATACTTGCAGTATGATGTTGTTTCCCATATTCTTTTATACTCCTTTTATCTTTCTTTTGTTGTGTGAGAAGCTCAGCTTTTGCAACAGCAAATCTTCTCTCCAATGCCTCCAATGTCCGTTTCCTTGAATCTTGAGTGATTGACTCTGCAGCCATGGACACCTTCTTGCTATATGAATAAGAATAAGACCAACATTAATATGTAATCAAATTACATTTGATGCAGTCAAAGAGCAACGTATCATTAAACAAAAATGCATCAGGCATGAAAAATATGGGATTAGACTATCAAACTCTAAATGCACTGAGAATGCAAAGTCATCTAGACATACATTGCAACACAAAAGAAAGAAACCCCAATAAATTCTTTCCAATTTTTGTTCTCAAATGATAAAAGAATTATCCATCAATAGAGAAAAGCAAATAGCAGGAGGTTATGAAATCCCACTAAGTAAATAGAAACAAAGGAAAAGGGATATGAACAAAAGAGCAAGGAGTGAAGAGGGTGGAGGCATGATTGCAGACTGAAATTTCAACAGTGAAAGATTTATTGGCAAAGTTGTTGAGACAAAGTGATGATACTCATTTTCTAAGATTAACAACTCAGTCGTTCAATATTTATAACTCATCTTCTAGGATTAATAAATGTGCTATGTTACTGACCAAGTAAAGGAATTTTCATCAATCATTTTTTTTATTTTTTTACGATTAAAGACATTGAGACATGTATCATTTTGTAAATTCAAGGGACCTATCTATTATTATCTTTTATACAGGGGGCCTATATGTCATTTCCAAATTATTGACAATTTTTACATTATTCTGTATCATATAAGATAATTTGTGTGAGTGATTGAGACATGGCCTTAAATGTCTCAAACAATAACTCATCAATTTCATGAGATGAGACATTACCATGAATATCACCATCGAGATCCATATGACTTATCTCTTCACTGAGGTAAATCCAGTCTTTGTAGCCTTCTACAAATCCCTTGCTTATCAAATGATTAAACACCACTTTTTCCCCAACAACCATTTTAACATACACCACAAGGGCAAAAAATTTCTTCTCCTTCAAAGTTCAAACTTTCTTTCAAAGAATGAAACATTCAAAAAGTATCTAACACCAGTAGTATACTCTTTAAAATACCAGAGAAGGTTACAATCCAATATTTTTATCACGTTTGGTTCACTAAACAACAAATTGCCCGGAACAGCAACATCCATTATTATATGCATGAATCAATTTACTTAGCTTGAATATCAAGGTAAAGCATATAATCTCTGGCTATCTACCTACCTAGTCACTAACTAAACACAAGATTATTGATCACTGTTTATTCCATTCTCTTTGGCCTCACCCCATGAATACTACAACTCACATATATTAACTGAAAATAGTGCAGATAAAATTTTTCAAATAAGGCCTAACACATGGTAAGAAATTAATAGCCCTATAATTCATATGTGGGGCTGGGGGGAAGGTACTAGGGAGTATGTGCAAGTCTGTGTAGAGGTATGGAGCTAAACCAAATTTGGTGGCAGTGATTTGGGTAAATGTGGTGTGTGGGATCTAGATTCTAATTCTAATTTGCACATGAGAAGACACCCTTATATATGAATATAGAGACCTTGCAAATTGAATATTATACTTTTCTATTGATATACCATGAGTGAATGATAGATCAAAAGATGGTTTATTTTATATACATAGAAGAAGGAATGACCACTGTATTAGCAATTATTAAGGACAGAAGCCTCTGGACAATAATGAAAATCAGGGGAATGATGCCACAGAAGGTTATTTTTAAAAAAAAGATTTAAATCTAGCTATAAGATGGACCCAGCAAGGTCTTAAAGCAAATTAAGGCCTAAATTAAATCATTTCCATGCCATTTACTCATCACAAGGAAAAAAAAAACATTGCATCATTGTTAGCATCGAAGTATTTTTTAAAGACCCAAGAATAAAAAATTTAAACAGATTATTGAATTATAAATTTCTCCATCAAACTTAGAATATTACATTATAATTTTTCTTTGCACTTTAAAATTTAAGTCTCTGAAACATTTAAAATATTTCAAAATTCAAATCTTCCAAAATAAATGGGCTATTCACTCTGTAAGTTTTCCAATAATTTAATTCTCTTTGGACCTCTAGTAGGTTTTTTTTATCCCTTTTTAATCTGAAAGTACCTCTCTAGTGATCTTCAAGATATATCAGGTCCCTTAGTCATAGCCATAGGCAGGCCTATATTACACTCACTGGGGGCATCTGACCAAACTGAGATTTTTGAAATATGCATATTTGATATCTAACCCTTTAATTTTTGTTCCAAATACTTTGACACAACTTGAGCCAAGTCATTTACAATATCATACATCCATCACAAATGCCTCGAAAATTTTCCTAAATTGATGATAATATAAAAAGATTAATAAACAAAATGCCAATACACAACAACTCCCAACATTGCAAAACAACACAATCCAAATCATGCAAGTTGCTAGTAATCAAAATGAATAGGGAAGAAGTATAATAGCCCATTACACACCATTCAAGCAAAAACTAGTACCAAAAAAAAAATTCAATATGTAAATATTCCCAATTTTTTTTTGGATAAACATGATTCATGAATTACTAAGTGCCTGTTTCGATAGACATTTATAATCGATTATGTATCATGAAACCATGATTTTGGTAAAAAGGATCCAAACACCCTCATTTTTCAATAATAAATTTTTTACCAGATGAATGACGCTCATAATTTCTTTGAAGTTACTCTCCACAAATTCTCCATCAACTTTATGCCCTTACTCAAGATTATCCAAGCGAGTTTGGATATTTTGGATATTTGGTCCATGGCAAAGTTTAAAACAATGAGTTTATATTGAGGACTTCCTTTAATATACTTTTAGCTTATACATCTCTTATTTACTAGATTAATTTTTATTTTCTTTTATTATATCTTGGACATCAAATAATTATAGCCCCAGGGCAGCACAAGTGAGTAGGCTTGACATTTAAAATACCAAACCAGTCCTTGTATTATGTTTCTTCCTAACTTCCTCTCTCTCTCTCTCTCTCTCTCTCTCTCTCTCTCTCTCATTTTACGACATTTCTCCCTTTTCTTCTTCCCCTTCTCCTTTTTCTTTGCTATTCCCGATCAGGATGTCTTTATAGTAATGGTAGCCTAGTAAAGAAGTTCATCTTAAATACCCATCACATATATAACAAAAATTCCAACAGCAGGCCACACAAATTCTAAATGAGAAGTAGAACCAAACTTCGAAAATTTACAAAGAGCAACTATGAAAACAAAAGGCCAACCCAATAGCCAAGTTGAAAGACCTAAACATGCCCTGAGTAAAAGCAAAAGAAATTCACAGTCAAACCCACCTCCCAATTGAAAGACTAACACCCAAAAACAATTTGTAGAGGTACAAAACACCTGCATTTCAAACTAGGAATGGCAAGGGTGAGAAAGAATGGATTGTTCACTACTTGCTACTGCTGCATGCCATTCTACCCTACCCTGTTCTTTTCTCATTTCATACCTGTCTCCACTCCCTCAGCCAAAAAAAAAGACACATTAAGCTCACATTCAGTCAAAATGAGGAAAATATAAGGAAATTGCAGTAGATCAAATACTGAAATCTTAGTTGGATAAATAAGAGATGAGTCTGAAAAGTGAAAGAAACAGAAGCATCACTTCATCTGAAAAGCAGAGAATTATCAAGGAAACAGGTATACATGCATAGAAAACAAAGAAATGCAATATCCCTAATGTTATTGGTGCCATTTCTTCCAGTGTTCCAAACACAAGGTGGGACAACAGTATGCCACAACGTGAATAATGAATTAACAGAACAGTTAAAATTCCAAGGAAAGGGCCCAAGAACAATGAGTACTTAAAGTTTCTTCAGGTGCAGCCTCTCAGTTTATAAGCACTTTTCTACAGAAAACAACAGGATGCACGTACGGTAATGCATATAATCACACACTCAAGTAATTAACTTTTCAAGATCATGTCACAATTGAATAATATTACTTTAATCCAACAAAAGAACTAATTTAATCGAGATTAGAGCATTACTTAACAAAGGCACTTAAAATACGCCATATATGAAAATTGATCCAAAAGTAGGACACCACATTTTTGTATATGAAGAAGAGTTTATCTGCACAAGTCAATCATCCACACAGCAACTGGTTAGCAAAGGTTAAACCTCAGCTGACTCATTGTTGCCATGCTTGGATTTTTACCATGGCTAATTCAGGCATTTCATCAGTATTTTGCTCTAATTTTTTCAAAGCATGATAACACAACCTTTGTCACGACTAGAAGAGTGGCTAAGTTGCCAAAACACTTGCAGGTTTTTTCATTACTTATATTTCTTTACAAGAAAAATAAAATCATGAGAAAGTGCACACATACAACAGTATATCAACCTGCAATAGGCCTAGCATGGCTTGAAGCTTTTTTAAAGGCCTACTTATTAATATGTGGACTTTAAAAGGCTTAAGGGAATAGGCCTTGATGGTTTTAAGTAGGCTTTGAGCCTACCAAACCAAAGCCTACTTTAAAAAGGCTCAATGCCTATTAAAGGCTACATGTTATTAGAATAAAATTAAGACCTGATTTGTGTAGCAATTTAATAAATCCAAATAAAAATTGTTACTAGAGAGTGAGATCTAAATCCCAGACAGTGATTCCACTGACAATAATCTATAGAAAAATACAGCACAACAATACAACATAGCAGGTGTAGCATCAAATGGAAATTGAACAACACAACAATGTAACAACGGCATGTCAGCATGAAATGAATACAACACCAATGAAGGCTTTAATATAATCTCCTCCTACTCAGAACTTGTACAAGAACTCGTCCTACCTAATATCATAAGTTAAAATACAGCACAAAGTAATAAAAAAAGAAGAAAATACGAATAGATGAGATAGATTAAAACCAGTGTAACAGTGTTCTTTAAACTATGAGGACTGGGAAAAATCAGTTGTACATATGTCCGCATAAAATGAATAGATGTAAATTAAAATCAGAGTTTGATAACTCAGTTAGCATATATTCCTCCAGGTCCTCGTAAATTAAAATCCAGCATCTATTCTTCAAACTACCTATTATTCATCTGCAAATTATAAGCTATGAAGCTCAGTTTGCGTAATGTAAATGAGATAACTCCCTGACAGTATTTTTACAAAGCGGAACTGCCAAGAGCCTTTCCAGGGATACTACTGAGCACGCTGGATTTTTCCTAACGAGGCAAGCAAACATCAATTGATGCTACTGCAGCATTGATTTAAAATCAGTGTTCCAAATAATTAAATTAGAATAGTTAGACGATAAGACAAGCAAACACGATAGCGATTATTTGAAGCATTGACTTTTCTTAGCAAGACAAGCAATCACAATAGCGATAATTTGAAGCCTGAAAATAAGGATGGATCATTACCTCTCTTATCGGGGGCAAGAATGGAGGAACACGAGTAGCAATGGAGATAGAGCGGGCGACTCTGAGTTACTGAAATAGGAGAAAGGATGACGACCGACGGCGAATAGGAGTGCAGTGGGAAACGGCAAAGAGGTGTTGAGCGAACAGCAATGGAGATTAATAGATTATTGGTAGACGTCGGAGGAGTAGAGAACGGCGACGGTGAAGCGTTGAAGAAGATGGGTTGATGTCGGAGGAGTACAGAACGGCGACGGTGGGTGTGTTAACGACGGAGAAACGGTTGATGCCTGTTAGTTTTTGTCAGATAGAGCTAGAAAAAATATGGAAAATATTATGCTTTTGTTAATAAAAATTATGATAATAAAATAAAAAAAATTAATCTTTAATTTTTCAACTTTTAACTCACTTGTAACTCAATCCCTCAATTTTTAATTTACCTATAACTCAGTCCTTATTTTTTAATTTTTTTTAAAATTTTTTTATCAAATAAGAGGGATAAAAAAATGTTCATATATTATTTTAAAATACCCTCTTCTTATTTATTAATGTGAGATATAAGCTAACATAAAAAAAATTAACAAAAATTAAGAAACTAATTTGTAAGTGATTCAAAAGTTAAAAGATTGAGTCATAGGCGAGTTATAATTAAGGGACTGAGTTACAGTGAATCATAGTTGAAGGACTGAGTTACAAATGATTTAAAAGTTAGAGGATTAAAAGATTAATTTTTCTTAAAATAAATTATGTTTTTAGTGTTTATTTCATTAATTTAGATTTATTTTTAAAATAATAATTTAAATATATTTTTTATTTTTTATTTCTAAAATTTATTCTAAAAAATCATTATATATAATTGTTTTGACAATATAAAAATAAAAAATAGAATCAAATAAGTCTAATATAGTGCTTCAATTATACCCTTAATTTATTATATTCTATTTAAATAATTAATGAAAATATTTTAAACAAATCAACTATTATATTTATTTTATTTAAATGTACAATTTAAAAGATTAAAAAATATTTTAAAAATTAAATTTTAGCTAATTTTGGTTTTTAGCTAATTTTGGTTCAACGACTCGTTGAGATCTTGCCAAAGGTTTCTATGATTGAGATCTCATATTAAGTCCGACAAAGACGAGGAGGGGAAGAGAGAGAGAGGAGGGGGAGAGAGAGAGTGGAGGAGAGAAAAGCTTTTATATATTATAAAAAATAGGCTAAAATATATAAAATTTCACTAAACTTTGAAATAATCGTATATAACTCCTCTCATTTTTTAAATTTTAAAATTAACACCCTAATCTTTAATTTTATTTTTCAAAATCCCCTATTCCCCTCCTGTTAATGATATTATTTTTCATAAGAGTTAAAATATTATTCAACTAAAAAATTTTATTAAACAAAAATATTATATTATATAACTATTTATAATCAATTTTTTATATTTTTTGGATGGCTGAGGCATTGATAACCAAAAAAATATTATTTTTACTGTATAAAATTTTAAATATTTATACAAGAGTGTTCAACTTATATCTATCCTGATTGCTCGGTATCATCTTGATCATATTGGAACAAGTCTCATCCCAACCTGAAAACAATTGAAACGAGAGTTTATGGGACAACATGAAAAAGGTTCAGGATGGGATAAGATATGGGATTACTATCGAAACGTCCCATCCCAAATATTATATATATATATATATATATAATTTTTATTTAAAAATATACATTAAATATATTAATTATATCAATTATTTTTTTTTGAATGAATATCAATTATGATTTTAATACGTGCAATTCTTATTTAAAACTAAAGTTTTTTATATTGATAATTTTAATAACGTAGAGTAAATAAGGCAATATCTTTCTTTTATGATATATTAATTATATTAATATAATTTATTCTTACATCTATCTATTTAATAGAAGAACAATGATTTGATGTTGTGCTTAGCTTGTCTGTTGTTGCTGCTCTTATAATCTAAACTATAGAGATCATTTATAATTGCTATCATAATGTATAGTTGTGATTAATGTAATTCAATAATTGATTTTAAATTGTTGTAATTTATATACTTGTGTTGTTTTGATTTTAAACTTAATAAATTATATGATTTAAAATTATAATGAATATTATTATCTAGATCTTTCTCTGACATTATCTGATTTATGGGTGTAGCGGGATATCCCAATCTTGTCCCAATCTCATCTCAATTTCTAACGAGACGAAACAACTTTCGAAACCAAACAGGATAAGAGACAAAAAATTTAGTCTCGATTTTTTTTTTTGGGACGTGACACAGGACAAGGGTGTCCCAATATTGTCTCGTCCCATAAACACTCCTATATTTATGTTTATATTAGTTTTATCCATATTTTTTTGTTATCAATGGTGTGTGGTTTTATTGTTTTAAAAGATAAATTTTTATTTATATTTTCATGTTAGATTAATGTAATATGCATGGTTAAAATATTTTAAATTTTAAATATTACCATTTTAGATTAATTTATTTAATGCAAGAAAAGTATGCACCATTAACAACAACAAAAATAGAGAAAATTATTACAAAAGTAAATATTTAAATTTTATATGGTAATAATAACATTTATTTTAATTATTACTTATGCCTCAACTATTCAAAAAATATAAGAAATTAATTAGCCATAGTTTTACAATATAATATGTTGTTTAATAATATTTTATTAGTTAAATGACATTTTAACCCTTATAAAAAATAATATAACTACTAGTAAGAGGTTTTGAAAACAAAGTTAAAAATTAGAGGAGTTAATTTTAAACTTTTAAAGATAAGGGAATCATATGCAACTGCTTCAAAATTTAAGAAAGTTTCATGTATTTTAGTCTAAAAAATATTGGTAGGACCTACATAATAGTAGAACATGACAAGCTAACATCAGGGGCACGAAGGCGACGAATTTGTAACGTTGAGGGACATAATTGACTCAATTGAGTTTAGAGTGCCTAGTAACATTTCAGATAAAATTTAAAAATAAAAATAGCCCTTAACCATTTTTGTATATGTGAAAGTCTAATTTCACTTTTTGTAATGTAGCAAAACCATAACTAGTACTATCTAACACTTCAACTTAAAATAACTTTTTACATATATCACACCACATATAAAATAAGAGAAAAAGAATTTTAATGAAGGAAAGGGAAGGAGTTTTAATGTTTTATTGTAAAGAGAGGGATCTCTCCATTTCTTTATTTTCCTTTTCCCTCCACTTTCCAATCTTGACCATTCATAAACCTATGACTAAAATGAATTCATTTGATAGAATGATATCAATGGTCATGATTGGTGTAATATCCTTAAATTTTAATCTGGTTATTTAAGCCTAATTAGATTAATACAAAGTGTATCAGTAAGGTGTGTGGCTAGAGATGTCTAATGAACGTGTTTATTGTAATTTCAGCCCTAAACGCAAGTCCAAATGAGAGTCGAGTCACCGAGATGTGAAAAGAGGAAGAAAATTAAAAGGTAAAGTTCTGTGCCACGAGTTGCGGCTTGTGGATTAGACTATCGCAGTGCATGTGTGCTAATACGCTTGGGGATATCTTCTCTGTGCCATGCACTGTGGTGCATTGTG